TCTCTAGGGTTGACAGGTTGAAATAACAATAAAATAGTTATAACAATATCAAGATTGAATGAATCTTCTAATTTTGAATTTAAATTCAAAATAGTCAATAAAAAAATGAAACTTAAGACATGTTATCAACTATCCATGAAAGTATTTTGGTTATTCTATATATTTTTAAATTATTTTTTATATTCTTTTGTAGTTTATGAAGGTGAAAAGTATGAACGTGCAAAATTTTAGCTCAATCTTGTGTATAAGAAAAAAAAAAAAAAAAAAAACTTCATATATGCTCGCAACTCATCTAAAAAGGTTTTTCCTATTATGTGATCGAGACCGTTTCTATTGTTTGACCTATTGTGGATGAGTTATAATTCCAAAAAATCATTTGTGTGACAAAATATCTCCTTCTCATTGATTAAAACTTCAATGAATAGTTAAATTAGGTAGTTTTTCATAATTGAATAATTTCAAATAGATTAACCAAAATATATTTTCCATTGCCAGGTATTTAAAGTTTCACCGTCCATATTTCATAACTCGGAAATTCCATTTCGGTTATGACTCTCTAGTTGACAGACACCCCTTAGAAAACCAATATACTATAGCTTCCGAGAAATCTAAAATTCCGCAAGGGGGCACTTGAATGAAACAACCTGTCAAAACAACTAGCTTGATGGTAATTTGGTAGATTTTACCCCATTATTTTAAGGAAGTTTAACTATTGGACTCGATTTTACCTTACTATTGGACTCGGTTTCTATGGAGAAATGTGGGCTTCTTAATAAATCTGTTTTTGAGATGGACTTTAATACTTACTTTTTAAGGACATGTAATCTCTAATATGGAGAACATAAATATGAAAAAATAAAAAAAAATTAAAAACTAGAAACAATAATTCTAGTAAGAAAAACATTTGGATCGTTAGTTTCTATTGTTTTTAGATGGAACACCAACTTGCATTCATCTTTAAAAGGGATGCTTTACATTTTCTTGACCGTATATGTAAAAATGTGGTCTAGCCCGCATGAAACAATTTTCTTGGACTCGATTTTACCTTACTATTGGACACGGTTTCTATGGAGAAATGCGGGCCTTTTAATAAA